AGAGTTTAGGGTTGTAGGGTTTGGGGTTTAGGGTTTAGGGTTTGGGGCTTAGGGTCTGGGGTTTAGGGTTTTGGGTTTAGTTGTTTCTGTTCTCGTCTGCGCCATTTTGAGAGGCGCCTTCAGTTAGAAGCACTCCGGGAAACTCCGGGATCTTGTCCCCTAGCCGCTTAGCACTAAACCCGAAATCAAAGCGCTTCCCGAATTCCTAACCCCTAACCTCTAAACCCTAGACCCTAAACCCTAAACCCCAAACACTAAACCCCAAACCCTAACCCCCAAACCCTAAACCCCAAACCCTAATCCCGAAACCCTAAACCCCAAACTCTAAACCCTAAAGCCCAAACCCCTAAACCCTGAATCCTAAACCCCAAACCCTAAACCCTAAAGCCCAAGCCCCTAAACCCTGAACCCTAACCCCAAAACCCTAAACCCTAAAACCCAAACCCCTAAACCCTAGACCCTAAAACCTTAACCCCTAAACCCTAAACCCTAAAACCCAAAGCCTGGACAGTAAACTCCCAAAGCCTTAGAGGCTTTCGGAACCTCCCCGCTTTCGAACCTTGGGCCTTCCAAGGCTCGAGCGGTTCAGTCGGCGTCTGGAGAAGGCAGCGTTGCTTTGAGGGTTCGGGGTTTAGGGTTTAGGGTTTAGGGTTCGGGGTTTAGGGTTTAGGGTTCGGGGTTTCGGGTTTAGGGTTTAGGGTTCGGGGTTTAGGTTCAGGGTTTAGGGTTCAGGGTTTAGGGTTTAGGGTTCGGGGTTTAGGGTTTAGGGTTCGGGGTTTAGGCTTTAGAGTTGAGGGTTTAGGGTTCGGGGTCTAGGGTTTAGGGTTTAAAGGAGCCTTTCGAGGAAGCCCTAAGGAACCCCTGAGGGACCCCTCGAAGGAAGGCCTATAGGAACCGCTAAAGGAACCCTTATGGAACCGCTAAGGGTGCGGAACCCTTACAAATTTCTTTGGAAGGGTTGCTTGGAGGGTTCCTTTACAAGGGTTCCTGTCAGGGTTCCTATGGGGGTTTGGGGGTTCAGGGCTTGGGGTTTCGGGTTTGGGGCTTAGGGCACTCAGGGCTGTAATGTCATGGGATTTGTTGGCGTCTTTACGGTTTTGGGTTGTGTGGGGTTCAGGGGTAGGGTTTTCGGTTTAAGGCTTCACGGTTTTGGGTTTAGGGTCAGGTTTTCAGGGTTTGGGTTTTTGAACGTTCTGGGGGTCTGCTTTGGGTTGGCCTTGGGGTTCCTCTAAGGGTTCCGACTTTAAGGGTTTGTGTAACAGGATTGGTTTGGGGTTTCCGGGGTTTCGGTTTAGGTTTAGGGCTTGAGTTGGAGGTTGTTCTGTTCTGGTGCTTTGTCTGCGAGACATTACGCGACCTCACCTAGTTCGCAAACCCTCAGCTTTACTTTAGTGAGCTGCTTGACAGTTTTTGACGCAGGGTTTGTGGGGAGCCCTGAGTACTGTGGGCCTTTGAGCCCAATACCCCTTAGTTGAGGAATATTCCTTCAACTATAGGGACCTTCTTTCTACGATTTAAGGAATATTCCCTAAACTACGGCGACCTTCTTCCTGTGATTTAGGGAATATACGTTAAAATACAGCGGCGTTCCCTCTATGACTGAATGATTAATCCTGAATCAGAGGTATTGGGCTCTCTGGGTCTTTGGGGGCCAGTGGGGTTTAGGGTTTAGGGTTTAGGCGGCCATGCTATGATGCACTCGACACGACGTTGTCGTTCGCCAACGGCACACCCTCTCTCCTACACTCTAGACTTAGAACCGGAAGCCTAAACCCTCAACCCTTGGGGTGTGCTCTTGCCTGACTGCCTGCGACAGAAAGAGGGCCCATTGCACTCAAAAAACTTCAGCTCCAAACCCTACGTAAGCCTAAACCGCCCAAACCCTAAACCCAAAGCCCCAAACCCTAAACTGTAAAACCTAAACCCGAAACCCTAAACCCTAAACCCTAAACCCCGGAACTCTAAACCCTAAACCCTAAATCCTAAATCCTAAACCCTAAACCCTAAACCCCTAAACCCCTAAACCCCTAAACATAAGCCTTAGAGTCGCCCCTCCAGAGCACAAAGCAGCCGATCCCCCGAGGCTGCGCAGCAAGCTGGAGAAGGTCCCTCGGGTTTAGGGCTTGGGGTTTAGGGGTTGAGGGGTCTGGGGTTTAGGGGTCTAGGGTTTAGGGCTTGGGGTTTAGGGATTTGAGGTTTAGGAATTTAGAGGTTTGGGGTTTAGGGTTTAGGGGTTTAGGGGTTTAGGGGTTTTAGGTCTAGGGTTCAGGGGTTTAGGGGTTCAAGGTTTAGGGGTATGGGGTTTAGGGCTT